TTGCTAATGACAATGATATCAATTGGGAAAGTCTTCCATTGCTTTATCAGTAACCAGTGGTTAATTAAATTTTAAATCATCTTCTTAACAGGGTATTATATAATTTTAAAATGATCATTTTGAAGTCAGTGTAGCTACATGAAACATCTAAAGTTAAGGGAAATACCTTAAATCATCAAACACGCCTGCAAGCGTGCTTAGCAATTCTTAATGGAAGTTCAAGTCCAGGGGTACTGGGCAGGGTGGTGCAGTAGGTTAAGCATTGGGTTGCTATCCACAAGGTTGGCAGTTCAGATCCACCAGCTGGTCTGAAGGAAAAGAATGCACTTGGCTGCTCCAGTAAAGACTCAGTCTTAGAAGCCTTAAGAACCATTCTGCTCTGTTCGGTGGGCCATTCTCAGTCGGAATTGACTCAGTGGGTTTGGTTTTTATGAGCAAGATACTGAATGACATAAGAAGCATTGGCCAATCTTTAGCCATTTCAGGAGGTAGCCTCTGACCAAGAACAGGTCGTATTGAAGGAAGAAGTCCAAGCTGAACTGAAGGTAGTGGTGAAATCCAGACTCCAGAAATGGATGGAGTACCGCTTGAAATGTTCCAATAAAGCGATGCAGCTCTGGAAGCCCTCCTCCATCCATGAGGAAAACAGAAAAGGAAGACAGCTAGCTACTGGCCAACCAACTGGTCTTCATTTGTGCCATGCTAACGAAAGGTGATCCAATAGACTACAGAACAGTACCATTGATATCAGATAGTTAAAATGTAGGGGCAGATCAGTAAAAGAATGGATGCAGGCGTATATTGACAGGGAGCTATCAAAAATCCAAGCCGGTGTCAGAAGAGGACATGGAAAAAGGGATATCATTGCTGACATGAGATGCATGTTGGCTGACAGCAGATGATACCAGAAAGTTGTTTACCTGTGCTTTCTTGGCTAGGCAAAGAGTACATGGATCATACAAAATGATGGACAACACTGTGAAGAACAGGAACCTGTACACAGACTAAAAGGCTATTGTTGGAACCCTGCAGGCTTTAATATCAGGAAAAGTGTGTCAGGGCCGTGAGAAGGACGTATTCAGCCCCCGCTGAGCAAATAATCCGAGAAGCTGGACTGAATGAGGAAGTGCATGGCGTCGGACTGGAAGGAAGACTTGTAACAACCCCTGGCAGGCAGTTGCCGCAGCCTGAGCACAAAGAGGAATTGAAGCGCTTCCTGATGAAGATCAAAGGCGGGGCCTCCAGTATGGTTACATCTCCACGTTGACCCCACCCCCTCACAGCTGGATCACAAAGGAGCACCATGACCCACAAAGAAAAGGGGGGACGTTTCCAACGTTTCTTTTTACTTGGATTCATACCCAGTGTCCAGGGGAGCAGAAGACAAGGCGCCATGGTGTACAGCATTGGGCAAACTTGCTGCAAGATATCTCTTTAAAGGGTTAAACACACAAAATTTACTTTGAGGACCAAGATGCACCTGATCCAAATCATGATATTTTGTGTGGCCTCATATGCATGTAAAGAGTAAAGAAGATGGAAGAAGAACTGATGCCTTTGGAGAAGAATATTGAATTCACCATGGACTTCAAGAAGAACAGGAACCATGGGAGTGGGTTAGGCATTGGACTGCCAACTGCAAGGTTATCCGTTAGCAGTTCGAAGCCACCAGCAGCTCCGAGGGAGAAAGATGAGTCTGTCTACTCCCGTAGAGTTACAGTCTCAGGAATGCACACGGGCTGCCCTATCTTGTCTTATTGAGCCACTGTGAGCTGGAATCAGTTCGATGGCTTGAGTTGGTTCCCAGAAGAATGAACAAAGCTGTGTTGGGGAAAGTGCCGACAGAATGCCCCTTAGAAGAGTGGATGGTTGAACACGGTATCAGGAGGGACCAGTCCTTGCAGAAGGACATCTCGCCTGGCAAAGTCAAGGATGAGTGCAAAGGAGGAAGACCCTCAACAAGGAGTAACGCAGACTGCAACCGTGGGCTCAAACATGACAGTTGCAAAGATGGTGCAGGACCAGGCAGTGGTTCATGCTGCTGCAGGGGGCCAGTGGGAGTCAGAACCACCCCAAACAACAAGGATGCTCTCTAGCGAGCAGATCACCAGGTCTTTCTCCTGTGGAACCTTTGGGTGGGTTTGAACCGGCAACCTTGTGAGGTTACCCTATTGTTTTTGTTTAAAAAAGAAGGGGGTGGGTGGTGGTGTGCTAGCTTATTGTTTGACGCTGTCCAAATGCTGGAGCCCACTTTCAGACTCCTCTGCTTCCTTTGTAGAAAACGGCAAATAAGAATTTGCTGGTGGAGTTGTACCAGTATCCTGATTTTAACCCGTCCGGGCCGAACGAGCTTCCGAATGGGGTGGACTTCTGTGACATGGTGGGCAACGTCATCCGGTCCGAGAAGAACCCCAGCAGTGGCAAGGTGAGGAGAGAGACGGGGCCGTTGAGGGCTGGAAAGCGCCGGCCATGGGCCAGGCTCTCTTTCAGCTTTCCCGTGCCCTGGGGCGCGCACTCCTTCTCCACAGGAGAAAACAGAGACCCAGCCTTTGACCTGGGGTGAAGCAGGTGGCAGGAGACCGCGTGGGGATGAGAACCCGAGCTTCGTTTCCCTCTAAAGCCTCCTTGCTTCCTACCAGATGGTCTTCAGGCTGTTTGAATTGAGCATCCTCTCGGTGGGTGCCCTTGAACCGACTGACTTCTGACGACCTTGTGTTGCGGAGTCTTGTGCCAGCCTCCCAATCGTTAGGACGTCTGAGTCCATTGTGCAGCCATCTCCTAGACGCTTGTCTTTTTTGCTGCCCCCTCCCTTGCTTACCAAGCACTTCTGATTACCCGTGAGTGTGGAGAGCAGGCGAAAGTGGAGGAGGCTTCACCCCCCCAGCCCCCTCACCCTTCCGGTCAGCTTGACGAGGAGGAGGCAGCTTGTTCCAGGTCATAATTTGAGCGCCTACCCACCTGAGGCCTGCATCTTCCAGGGCTAGACCAGGTCATACCCCGTGGTGATCCAGGCAGTTCCCATCGACCAGTTTTCAGAAGCCGATTGCCAGACCTTCTCCCTAGTCTGTCATCGGCTGAAGGCGCCATTGAAACTTGTCCACCACAGGTGGCCCTTCTGGTATACGAGAACCTGGTCTTGTAGCTTCCAGCATCATAGCAATACGCAAGACAGCACGCAATGACTGCCATCGAGTCGATTCCAGCCCACCGTGGTCCTGCAGGGCAGAAGTGCCCCACAGGGTTTCTGAAGCTGTAAATCTTGATGGGAGGGGACACCCTCCTCTCTCAACAGCAGGGCAGATGGTGCATCTGAACAACCCGACACTGATCCTGCTGTGGCAATCAGGCTCCCGCAAAGCACCCCAGTAAGATCGAATTACTGTCTTTACTTTCTCCTCCTTCCATTGCCAGTATCAAGTTCAATGTCCTAAGCCATATGCTGAGCGCCTGTCTATCGAAGAGAGCAATGAGATTCTTGTGGAAAGGAAGCAGGATGAGTAAGCACTCCATGAGGAGCACAGCTTACCGAGGGCTTCCTACCTGCCAGACACTGCTCTGAGCACCCTGCACGCGTCACTCACACAGTTCCCGGAGAAGGGACATTTTCAACATCCTTTCTTCTTGCCGCACGCGCGCGGAAACTGGGGGCCGTTACCTTGGCTCAAGGGACACGCAGTTCACGATCTTTGCTTGAGGTCACACAGTTCACAAGGGAACGAGCTGGATTTGAAGCCAGGGTGGCGAGACTGCATCTCCTGTGCTTTGGACGCGTGATCCGGAGATGGTGGCTGGCCTGGCCCAGGCCTGGTACAGCTGGTACAGCCATGGCTCCCAGGCTGTCCCTGCCACTTGCCACTTGCTGGCTGTACACCCTGGAGCCGCGGCATCACCTCTGTGGTCCTCTGTCTTCTCAGTTGTGAAAGAGAGATTGCACTGCATGCTTCGTGCAAGTGTTTGGCAGGAGATAAGTGAGTTTAGATAAAAGGAGGCTCGGCTGTGTGTGTGTGTGTGTGTGTGTGTGTGTGTGTGTGTGTGTGTGTGTGTGTGTGTGTGTGTGTGTAAAAGCATATTGCACAGCCGGTTGACTCTAAAGATGGCTAGCAAGAAAATGGTGCAATGAACCAAGCCGTGGGACCCGGAGAGACTGGTTCTGAGTGCAGACAATTGTAAGGCTGCGGGGGCCCCCAGATGCCTTTCAAATGACACTAACAACAACATACATTGTGTTTCTTTTCAAGTTTTTCTGTGAGAAAAAAAAAGTCCAGAAGTTCCTGTCTTCTCCTTGCCAACGAGCCATCCTGCTGGATAGCTTCTGGTGGATTTTTCATGAAAGATACCAGGTAAAACCAAACTCTGATTTTTCTCGCCATCATCTTAAGCTGGGTTTCTACAGGACAAATCCAACCTGATCCCGTGGACCACCCCACAACCTCATCTCTTAACTTACTCCTCCCCACCCATGCCTCACCCATGAACCCATGTTTTAGCCAGTACCCAGTTTTTAAAACACACACACACACACACCCCACTTATCAAACCTCCCACTGGCTTGCCCCGTCTCCCCCTCCCCATCTCCTCCTTATTGGATATTGTCTTCCCTTCACCCGCCTTAACACCTGCCCACCCTGTAGCCTAGGACTTCCAATTCCACCCCTCCCCCTCCTGCTCCCACCCCGGGGAAGTATCAGAGTCTGTTTCTTTTGTGATGAAAACCTTTTACCGTGATTTAAAAAACAACAACAACAACAACACTATCTGTCCTTTTGTGAATGACCGGCTTCCCTCAGCACAATGTCCTCCACGGCGACCGTGGCACGCGGCGTTCACAGGTGCATCACTGTTCTTTCACGTGGCCTAGCACCCCCTGTGTGCATGGACCAAGGTTTAGCAGTCGTTCTGCCACCAATGGGCACAGAAGTGGCTGCCATCCTCTTGCTGTGGTGCACCGTGCTGCCACCACCGTGGAGGGGCATTTGTCTGCTTGTGCGCTTCACTTCTTTAGGCTATTGACTGAGCAGGGAGATTGCCCGGGTCACATGTTACTTCTGTTCCCAATTGTTTGACGAAGCGTCATACTGCTTTCCATGGTGGGTTTTGTACATCACCCGCCTCCCCCGCCGCCCAGCCATTACACAGTCTCCCATCTCTTCTCAAGCCTGGTTCTCTCCAGGCTTCTACACTGCTGCACACACGGTCCCCTTTGCCTGGAACATTCTCTCATCTCCACCCTTCGGAACCTATGGGGCAGTTCCCCTCTGTCCTATAGGACCACTATGAGTCAGAATCCACTCAGCCGCTACAAGGTATCATGCCCAAAGTACAGCCTGAAGGGGCACCAATGACGGAAGAGGTCTGAGAGGGTTCCAAACCTGAAGCACCTGTGTCCCCAGGGGACCACGACGTTTCTGAGAACAGACGTCCTTGCTAGTCAGGAAGCTCTCCACCAGGAAATTCATCTGCACATTAGATTCATCAGTGCATGAACCCTAATGCTCAGCGTCGGTGGGCTCAGACACGAGAACAATAGTGAGGCTGGCACAGGACCCGGCAGTGTTGTCTTCTGCCCTACGCGGGCTTGGTACGAGCTGGAACCGACTGCGTGTCTATGACTGATAGCACCCGGGTGGTGTCTCCCCTCCTCATTAGCTTCAGAGCTCGCCCACCTCTCCCCTCTCGGGAACCTAGAACAAAGGCCAAGTTGCTTTCGAACTGCACCTCCCAGCGTGAGAATCCAATGGACGTGTTTCCCAAACAGTGATATCATCTAGTTAACATTTTAAGGGGACTCTGACAGATTGGGACACCAGGAAGGTCAGAGAGGGCAGTTGGGAATGGACTGTCATGGCCCATTATGTAGACATAGGTATTACTAGTATGTATAAACTTACTGCCATCGAGTCAGTGCTGGCTCACAGTGAACCCTCCTGTGGGTTCTGAGACCGTAACTGTTTCTGGGAGTAGAAAGCCCAGTCTTTCTCCCATGGAGCTGCTGGTGGTTTTGAACTGCCGACCATTGGATCTCAACTCAATACTTAACCACGACACCACCAGGGCTCCAATACATTCAATAATTCAGTGTGCCACCAACCTCATGAAGTGCCAGGTTCCAAATCCATGCTGGTCCACCACCACCTCCTCCACGTCTTCCTCCTCTTCTTTTTCTTCTTCAACATCAGATTGGGGATAGAGTTAGTAGGACTTGTTGACCCCTGGACCATGGGAGTGAGAAAGTAGGGGTGCCATAGGTTTTGCTCTGAGCACCCACTTCTTTGTGGGGAACCCCGGGCAGTGGTTTACATCACATGAGTTCACTAGTTCATAAAGTATATGATACTTAGATATCTTGAGAATAAGATCCCTGAAATGAGAAATGCCCTTGGCTGTTTCAACACGAGACTCTAGTCATTCTTTTTCCATTTCTATTTCCGGTAGCCCAACAAGGACCTCCAGCGGAAGCTATTTGATCGGATATCCAGAAACTACGCCCATCTTTTATTTCTTGAACCCCGGTCCTACTATGAAGAGGCTCTCTTAAAAGTAAGCATCAGCCCCTGTCGAGATAACGAACCACCTTACAGGTCTACCCCATCCTGGCACCAATCCATGCTTGCCAAAGAATGGCCCCAACAGGGAGACCTCAACCAAATGGAGCAGGAAGCTGTGATGTATCCACATGCCGACACACAAGGCTGTCGTTAGCCAAACCTTGGGTCTGTATGCACTAGGGGGCTTCAGAAGCTTCAGGGAGAAGTCCCTTATCTTCCTTCTTCCCCCACTGAACCTGTTGGTTTTTGAAAAACAAAACATTTCCTTGTGAATTGGGTGAAGGTATACAGAGCAGGTGAGTTCTCCGTGCCATAATCCAAACACAGCTCGTTTCTCGTCATTGATGGCAAGCCCCACAGTGTCCATTGCTGACCCCACTTACTCCCAACACTTCTGAACTTTGTCCTTTATCTTGTCATCCCATTTTTCTCCCCACGAACTTTCTGAAGCCCCCTTTCCTATACTAATTGGGAAAGATAGAGTGATTTGACTTGAATCGGAAAAGCCAATCTACCCACCATCCTTCTTTTGAAGGGGAACATTTTTAAAAAGCATCTATCGGCATATACCTGTCCGAACAAATCTGGGTGCGAGGAAGCAACAGTCACCTCTGGGGAGATTGTTGGTTCTCAGGAGGAAATCGCTTGTCATTTGACTAAGAAGCGGCCTTGCACAGTGTCTCAGAAAGCAACCCCCTGCAAGCCACTGAGCAGGGCTCTAGCGTGAAGAGAAGATCAACTTGAACCCTGGAAGTGGGGCTGTAACTGTTAAGGGTTTCCCATGTTCATCACAAGGTTTTCACTGGCCAGTCTTTCTGAAGTCCATTGCCACGTGCTTCGGCCCAGCCTGTCTTATCTGGAAGCAATACGTTAGCAGGGAGCTGCCAGAAGTTCAAGCCGGATGCAGAGGCGATCATGGAACAAGGGGTTTCATGGCTGACGTTAGATGGTCCGTGGCTGAAAGCTGAGACTTTGTTACAGATGCTTGTTTGTGTTTTGTTGACTATGCATTTCACAGTATGGATCATAACAGGTTATGGATAGCCCCACAAAGAAAGGGAGTTCCAGAATGCTTAATTGTGTTCCTTTGGAAACAGAACAAGAGGGTGTCGTGTGTTTTCCAATCAGGAAAGATGTATCAGAGTTGTCACCTTTGACCATACTAGTGCAAGGTGTGAGGAGCATGGTAGTTAGACTGCTCACTACAAGGTCAGCAGTTCAAAACCACCAGCCAGCTCCAAGGGAGAAAGATGAGGCTTTGCACTGCCAGAAAGAGTCTCAGAGACTCATAGAAGCAGTTCGACCCTGCCCTGTGGGGCAGTTATGAGTCAGAATTGCCTCGCTGGCACTGAGTGGGTGAGTGATTCAATGTGCATTCTGAGCAAATCATACAAGAAGCTGAACTGTATAAAGAAGAACACGGCACCAGGATTGGAGGAAGACTCGTGAACAAGCTGTGACACGCAGTTTGCACAGCCATGCTTGATGAAAGCGAAGGGGACCTGAAGCGCTTGTTGACGAAGCGCAAAGACTTCAGCCCTCAGCACGACTGGCCCTTAGCGCGAAGAAGGC